TTGAGTTTATAGGGGGGGGGTCGTATCCGCTTCAGTCGCGTGAAAGTACATGTGAGTTTGTGGTGAAAGTGGAGTTTTCACGAGTAGTAGGCTAGGTGAGTTGGGAGCGCATGGGAGAAAAATTCGCCGTTTCAGCGCGCGTATATACCCCGCTGAAATCGAATTTTGACGCGGAGTTTGGTGGGTTGAGTGGTACCAGAATTAAATACTATAGAGAGGAATATGGTGGTCGAGGTGTGGAAAAGGGGGTCGTACCAAGTCCACCTTGGGGAGGGGGGTCGTAAAAAATGAGTCATGAGTCCCCTACGATAACAACACGGGGCTCGCCCGGTGGCTACCTCGCAGCCTGGACGCAGCACATCAACCAAAACCCGAGCTGTTTCATCAGAGGGTGTGACCCCGTTTTGTTGGATTCGCTGGGTATCCCGTTTTGAGAACCATTTCACTTTATGCAGACAAGCATTGCGAAGGTAACCATGGAATAGCTTCCAAAGTTGGCCGCAGCAGTGCGGGAGGACGGTTGGAAAGTCTCAAAATCTCCTTTATCCGGAGGACCGCCCGAAATCACATTGCAAAGATAACTCGCCACGGGAAACTGGCTGGACCACGACACCACATCTATCGTATAGCCCTTACGTTGCTCCATCGTACTATCACCTCCTCAGCTCCCTGAAGCAGCAGCTAGGAGAGAAAAAGTCAGTAAATACAACCACCCCAAAAACGACCTCTTCGAGCTTTTCATCTCACAGCTTCTCTCGTTCTGGGAGGAATGCATCCATTCGTTCCTTGGGTGCATATCAGTGATTATGATGGTGGTTATGTTTTTGATCATTGTTCTTCAAGAAAGATAAAACTTATCGGCCAGAAATTATGGATCAACCCAATAGTTTGTGGTATAGTAGGATACATTAACCATAGAGCTAAAAATAGCTCGTGTGGAAGTAGGATAAAGTCTAGTGGTGCATTAGTGCGTCCCATAGACTCTGGCAGAAATTCAGTACTTCAGATTACGGCGTTACATTCGGATCGAAATCGTAAATGGATTGCACTGAGAAAATCGTCGAAGACACTGAGCGTTAAGTGATAAAGATAAAAGGATAAAGCATTTGCCGTTGATCAATCCCTTTTTGGGATGCGGCACGCATTCTACTTCCATTTGTACATTCGTAGTGGCGTTTGAATGCGATGTGGCCTATATGACTTGCGGGGGCCAGCCGATGTACAAGTCAGTGTTTTTATCCTCCCAGACAAGTCTGGTACCAATTAACCGACCCCGGAGGGATGGAAGGCTTGGTTGGCCCGGGCGACTCACGACCCAGGATTCGATCCCTGGACCACATTACGCGATTCGCAGCAGGAGCGGGAAACGAGCGGATGGGAAGGGCCAGCAGGACCAAACAATGAGCAACGGTGTTCTCCTTGCGGCGAGCGTCTATCTTCGCAGTGAGCTTAAGTTAGCTTCTCTTTTCATATCCCATTGTACTGTTGCAGGTCGTTGAATCGTGACGTTGCGCTCACATCATAACTGCTGGTCACTGTTGTTCATTGTGGGATCAGGGTAAAAATGTACTTGTTAGAGGGGTGTTGCTCAAAATTCGCACTCTTTTGACGGTATTGGGCCTTTTCCTCACCCAACCCCCCCCCCAGAGTTTTCACTGCAGTCAATTTCAAATTTTGCTCTGAAAAGATGTTTCTTTGGATCTCGTTTAGTACATCGGACGGTCTAAATTGTTACAGTATTTTGGGCACTTCTTCGGAACTACTTCGGACAACCTAAATTTTGAAAGAAGAATAAAGAAATGTGCCGCAGTTAGTAGAAGATCCAATTTTTTATTTACTCAGCCCACAGATCGGATCCCGGTTTAACCAATCAAACCAAAGTGCTTCCGAATCTGATCAAGCAAGACTTTTGGCAGGATGCCAGAAATAGGGAAAATATTATTGTCGTCGTCTCCACGTGTTTTACGACAACCTCCCCGCAAATAGCCATCAGTGGGTGTGTGTGCGTGATAAAAGTTCACCTATATGATTATCAGTTTTATCAATGCTCTCACCGCAGGTCAGTCAAGGTCAACAACAGCGTGGGAAAATCGTGAAATAACTGTGGCCACTTGGCAGAAGAAGTGTACAGAGATAAACCTTTTGAAGTTCTGCTGTCTTATGCGAATAGCAACACAAGTGACTCCAGATAACAACAGTGCAGAGATCAAAGAATCAATGAGCACAGGAGATATGGATTTTTTCGAGGCCACATACTACCGAGTGCCTGCGAATGTGAAATGTCTGCGGGAAGAAAGTGTTAGTGAAAATAGTTCTTCGATGTCCTAACAAGGGACAGTCAACAGGTGACTGGAGTGAGAAAGAAAAAAATGCATATTTGCATATTTGCAAGAATAAAATAAAAACATCTAATCAACCAGATGGTTCATTATTTCATGGGATCGACGCCGTAAGGCGAGTATTTTCCCATTTATTACTCGTTTTTTCCACCTCTCAAAAATGATTATTTACAGTTTATTTCTTTTCATATCTTTTTTAAGTCGTCCTTGACCTGCAATCTCTCTCGAGAAAATGCTGCCGGAAGAAACCGGAAAAATACCCTAACAATCTAGGCGCACATCTTTTTAACGAACAGAGGCTTTTTTCCTTATTTTTTCAAATATTACTTTCTATTGCCGAAAATCATTTTGACAAATTTTCCATTACGTTGCTTGTACACTACTAAATGTTTCACACGGAATTTGAAAAGATTCTTCTAGTTATACTTCAAGAGGCGTGATGCCCAAACCGTGTGTATCAATCGATAAGCGGGCTCAATTTGGAAGTGAAAAGATTTCGTGTCGGGAGTGCGCTCTGAACCAGGTTTTCGTAACGATGTGGAAATCAGAAAGCTAGATAAATTCAGCCACAGCAAGGCAAATTCAACTTCTTACTGCACAAAAATAGGGCAAATGGTGAGCAAGTCTCTGCAATGAATAAGATTTTCTCTTATGCGCAAGTCTCGATTTGCCCTATGAGTTTGCTAATTGAACTTCAAAAAATGCTCTTCCTGGAAGGCTCTCCTGCATATTCCTCTACATAAGCTCCTCGCATAATCCCTGGGCATCAGTAACTATTTAAATGTTTCGCTTGATCCCACTTAATCCCTTAAGTCCTTCGAGATAATACTGGGTGTCAGATGCTTGGCAAATAGTGGTGATTACCGCTCGGCAATCTTTTATCAATGTAATCTTTCCAATGAACTGACTCTTTCACAGATTTCCTGTAGAGAAGATCGGGTATCGCCGTCAAAACTCCTGCGCCATCACCGGAATCGTTGTCGCATGCACAAGCGCCACGATGAGCCATGCGTTCCAACATTGTGCGAGCTTCGCAGAGGATCTGACATAATAATGAATTTTTTGCGTTGAAGATCGATTTGAGCTTCTGTCTAAATTTGACCATCCCTATGTCCTCCCTCAACGGCTAACCAAGCCCTGCATTCCTATCGATTTTTAAGTTTCCTCGAACTGCTTAGAAAAAAAGCAAAAAAAACTTGAGCAAAAACGATGACTAAAATTGGTTAGCCTTATAGTAGCCGCATTCAGGGACATGAAAATAGGGGTATCCGAAATGAGACTGATGACCCATTTTTGGAGTACGTAATAACTTGATATATGATACAAAATATTAGGTACCGGATATCTTAATGTCGTTTTTTCACCAAGAGTATTGGACCAGCAATATTTCAGTTCAAAACCCGGGGAGCGAAGTTAGTTTAATCATAAAATGACTTACTAGGATCCCCTCATCTAACAGTTAGAGTGGCAACCTTGCACGATCCAAGCTCGGAATTTTTTGAGTTAAAAAGTAGAGGCAGGTCGGTTTTGACATCCTCTGATAAATCATCTGTTACTTGCTTAAAAGTAAGGCCTGGACAAAGTAAGTGTACAGCTGGTTAGCGTAGGGTCTGCATTGCACGACAGAAAAATTAGAACTTATCAGCCCAAGTGGGCAGTTTTTTACGGAGACTTTTTTGCAACATAGGGTCAAAAACGCACCCTTTTTGAGCGCGCGTGAGAGGCAGGTGAGCACATTTATCAGAATATCTTGCGGAATCAAATCCATAGGAATGTTTGCGCATCATCATTCCATCAGAGTGAAAGTATCCTACCATTTCAGCACAAGTCTGGTGCAGCCCCTTCTCAGCTGGCTTAACTAGGGCCATCTTTTTGAAGACGATTGCCGGCATCCTTTCAAAAACTTCACTGTCTTTTAGGAAACCTGAGGAGAACCGTTGAGCATTCCAAACGGTAGTATTCCTTCCAACAAAAGCAATGTTAGTTTGGTTGGCGGATCTGTAGCTCCCAGCCCGACTTTGATGGCATTTGGTACACACATACGAATTTGCGCAATGAACCCAGGAATTTTCAGAAAAAGGTATAAAAATTGGGGGAGAGATAAATTGTAAAGTAACAATAGGGACTAATAAGCAACATGTTACGTAGTATTAATAAGCAAAGAGAACGTTCTGAGAAATTGATTTTCCATGGTAATTGGCCCCGAAACATCCTGAACTCAGAAAAACGACATTAAGATATCCGGTACCTAATACATCGGTGGCTACATCGTACATCAAAAGTGCACGTTGAATCAAATTTAAAAGTCATTAATGCTCTAACAGTTCTGGAATAAATTTCCATTTAAATTCGAACCCGCACTCGTGGCGCACCCCAAAGAGATTGGATAAGACCCTTCTTCTATCTATCCTTTTCATCCTTCACGAATACTGTTCTGAAATACACCGGCAGGAAACTTCATACGTCATCCACGGACGGCGACTTTCAAGTGCTCCATCTTTCCTTGTGGCAGCAAATGAATAATGGCTGGCTTTAAGATGGCATTCTCTATGCTATTTTTTCCACGCTTTCCATAATGTTTCATGTTTCATCAAGAGTTACACGCGATTCATTAGAGAGAGTACATAAGGTCCTTAAGTGCTTCCGGTTACTGAATAAACACGAACAATGGCTTCTCCTTGATAACTCGCATATGCTCAAACCCATTGAGAAGGAGAAAAATTAAGAAGCGGACCATACTTTTTTCTCACTGGTTTCAATTATGTATTCGTTACAAAAAAGTTTCTTCTATAATACCAGGAGATCCGCTCTCTGACGGGCAGCGCTCCTGCTCTGATCAAACATTAGGACAGTAAGAGGACTGGTGCACGCAGAATTTCGTGATCACCAGAGATGGGCTCCAATAAAAGGACGGAGCATGTTCCTGCACTCAGGAAAAGTTATTTCTCATTATCTTCATTGTTTATCTTGATCATTTTTTTGCTAGAATTGATTTACTTGTTTAATAACTTGTTGTGTGTGTTTACATGTTTTTTAGCATGTAATAATTGAATTGCGAGCCGGCTGAGGACATTACGTCGCAATTTCTGGACTTTAGCAGAATGGTTATTGAGCTGCAGCTAGGAATACAGCGTCCGAAGAGCTCCACAAAGGAACTCTGAAAAAGGAAGTCCCAAACCTTGTAAAGCTATGAAAAAACTTGTTATCTCAGCTACGAGTTTATATACTTTTGTAACATTTTTTACATGGCTGACATTTTTCGAAAGCGAAACCTTTCTTGTACCTAACTTACGCCTTCTTTTATCCAAACCTCGTACCCCGCTAGCCTAGAGTAGTCTTCGGGTACAAAAGATTGGCATGAGACGTTGATGAAGGTTTGATAGAGGCAAAGATCACATGATTTTCTATAGCCTACGAAAAAACGGCAGGAAACCGAAGCATAAGAGATCAAAAAATGAGAAATTAGTAAAGAACGTCACCTTATGGGTTTTGATGCCTTTGATAGAGACGACGAAACCAACACCACAACCATCTCGTTCGAGCTGAGGTAGCCAGAGGCCCTCCTTAGCAGCTTCTTCTTGTTCTTTAGTTAGAATAACCATGTTGCTTGAGCCTATAACTAGTTCTGTATAGACAAATACTTGTAAGCATCTCGAGTAACAACACGCCTACGAAGACATCAGCGATCAACAGGGAGTGGCCTTAAAAACACCTTCGAAGGTCGTCGGGTTGTTTACGGAATGACGTCAGAAGTAATACAGAGTTTTGCGGACAGATGGGAACACATTGGTAGCGAATGACAATCGAAGCATACGAATATCGATGCTTTTTTCAGATTATTTTTATCGCAAAATATCAACTGCAGTTCGTTATTCGAGCGATATAAAGGCCAAAGCAGCACACGTTGGAACAAATTTCGGAAATCGGGTAAGCAGGATCGAGTTTCCAAAAACTACTGAATAACTTGAGCTGATACAAGCGAACACTTCTTCACTCCCTGTTAAGTTCAAGCGCTAGTTCTGTTTAAATGCTTCCCAGTGAGGCATAATTATCATACAAGAGTAACTAACTAGATTATTTTAGCGTGTGTACGAACGAATGGGAAGTCGCGCATCTTAGTCAGATATTCGACTTTTATTCTACAGCAGCCGACAGGGACAAATCTCGTGGACGATTCATAGGGATCTCCGAACAAGCGACCACGTTGTGTAATGTGGGGCGTTTCTAAACAAGACTGTTGGTTGTCTGGCAATCTGGCTGGCGATCAGCTAAGTGACAGACCGACTCGCCGTAGCAGTAATGCGAAGAGGCTCATCAATAATGCCACCGAAAGGTAATCGCCTCGTCCTAACTCATCGGAACTGCAGCCGCTCTCGAAAGGCAATTTCAGACGCGAGCATGGCGGCCAAAGGACATCGACGTGTGCGCTCACGACAACTGTCCGAATGTCTTGTAATGGCTGAAGTTCGAAAACAAGGAAAAATTAGCGCTGGCCGGCCTCATCAGCTGACATTTTAAGCAATTTCACGGCAGATAGCGGAAAATCCAAAAATCTGCGTTGAATCATCAGTGCACAGCGACCACTGACATCATTCTATTGGAATTCGCAAGCCGAAAAAAGCCAGACGAAACGGCAGAGCAAAGCGAAAGCGAGCCGAAACCACTGACTGTTGGCAGTGACGCCATCTGTGGATGTTCAAATAGACCATCACTGCCAAGAGGACTCATGGAAATGGTGTAATTAACAGATAATAAGAACAGCAGAGACAACGGTGCGGTGGCCCAAGTGAAGCGACACCAATATGACGTCGATTTCCGTCCAGCTTATACCCCGCCCTCAGAGTTCCCCGACGAATGCGCACCGAATTCTAGGCCCAGACAGCTGCCTGCACGTGTTGGTACACATTTTTACCGTTGGAAGCAAAAATGTTGGAATGTGTTTCAAAAACCGTCAAATAGCTCGCAGCTGAGATTAAGTTATGGAGAAGAAAGAAAACAAGCATGAAAAAGCCCAAATGCTTCGGACGCCGAATTTCTTTGGATAATTTAGTTAGGAAAGAAAAGATCCCTTCCATGCAGTCGCAGGGGAAGAAAATCACCGTAATATTACTGGTCTTTTTAAGATGCACCACATCTTTGTTCACCATCGCATACTATATAGTCAAGGAATATAAATTGTCAATGAGGATATAAATTACACCTCCATCAAAACCACCCTTACAATTCATAATCATTAGCTTTCTATTTACTTGGCGTATTCGACTATTTTGAATAGTCCCAGGAAATGTGAAAGAACTTTCAAATAGCAGGTTATTCACAGAAGGTAAGAGAAAGCGTATTAAACAATAAGGGCTTTACTATAAACGCACTCGATACTGTACAATGTAATAATATCTGTAAACAAAGATCAAAACATAACGTGTTAGTCCACTCAAGAAATCTTTGAGAGCTTTCACTTTTACTTATGGGGGAGGGATTCACTTCTTCAGGTTCCCTCAATGTTTGGATATAGGACAAGCAAAGGATGAAAAAGTAAATAATAAATATATAAGTATGTAGTAATATTATGGTTTGAATAGTAATAAAGATAATAAATTCTCGTTGCAGAAAGAATGCATTGGAATTTGCGCAGACGGGAGCAACAGCACCATCAACGAACTGAGCAGGCACGGGACCGACTGCGACTCTATCTATGTAGCAGCACCCAGCACGGGGTTCACTCTGTTCACTGGTCATTGAAAGATCGTTGCAAACCAACGACCTCCGTGCAAAAGGCCTCTGTTGGTGATTCACCTTATACACGGCTGTGTATGTAGAGAAGGAGCAAGCAAGCGATCTTTCTAATAGACTTTAATGTAAATTATAGCAATTTTGTTAGTGCTTTGATGAGTAAAATTTCAACAACACCATTTAAATATTAGGTTGATGCATAATTATTGCGGCTTTTTTCGCGCGTTCTTTTCTCGAGAAGATTGGCGTTTGAGTTTCTGTTTTTTTCATGAGAATATTCTTCTTTCTTCCATTAACAGAAATGCTTATCGGAAATTGTCCTCATCTTCACCACACATGCTTACTACTTCTATAAATGTTAGAAGGCGGCGGGGCCATTCCGCGATCTCATCAAACTTCTCAGCGAGGGAGCAATTAGCAAAACCCAAGACGAAGGATCGTTCAAGAAGTTTAAAACGCCACATCTACCGAGCGGAGCTCCTACAGACTAGCAATTCAATCAGACGTTGAAAAACTGGCAAACGAACAAATTTTAGGATGAGCTGGATGCGTTGGTGGCCAGTGTTAGAGCGTGGATCGTCTCCGAGAATCGTGACTTTTTTATCCGTGGAATCACCGAGAGAAAAGCAAATGGGAAGCATTCTTGTGGGATGGTGACCACGCTCCGGGGTTATTATTTAAACATGTTTTTGTTGAATAATTTTGTCGTTTTCGCTGAATAAAATTGTCTATTCTGACACTAGCCGCAATAATTATGCATCAACCCAATAGCATAACAGTATAGTGGCCACAGCAAGAACATTTCGCAATCTTGCTAGTACAGATCTCAAGAATGAAAGAATGAAAGATGACCTATTTCAAACAATGGAGAATAACTTCCCCACAAATGTTTTTTTTTTCGAAATTATGACTGCACATGGAAAAAAGAGCTCATGACGACTCACCCTTACTTGAATTCGCCTTAGCTTTATTTGATTCACAATCTTTAGGACAACTTAATGCATATTTTGCTAACGTAATGAATTGAAAAGCCAGCCCGCCTAGATGTAAGTGTTTTACAAGCAAGCGCCATCCAAATGGTGTAAATAAGGATGCTCACCCGTTTGGGCGAGAAGAACTTCGTCACCTGATTCCTGGGCCATATTTGTATGCTTGCCACTGCACCATAGCCCGTTTTTGGGTGGGTCATAATATGGAGAAAAAACCAGCCCTGGAAGCTCAACAGATCTCACCCACCCTTAATTTGTATTAGCCTGCAGATTCTTTGGCTGTGACTCATATACAGCCCTCTTGTAATGAGGAAGTACCATCGCAACATGATTTGGTTTCTAAATTTGTGCGTAAACACCAATAAAAAATGACGTTAGGCCTGAACAGAAGTTTAGACAGACTGGAAAGTTTGTCATGTGGATTTCGTGCTCGTAAAAATTATCTTTTTTAGCTACAAGGCCTTTCTACATTTGTAGGCTTTTGAAAACTTAAATGAGTTCGGGTTTTTTATGCGTTATAGCATAGAATATGTGAGGGGGAAGGGAGAGGATGAGGTGTGTTGGTTTGGTCAAAAATCAAATCTTGCCCACGAAAACCGACCCCTACATCCTTCCGTAGTCTATTTGCTGATTCAAAACACGTCTGGGAGGTTGAATACACTAACATTTACATCGGCTGGCTCCCGCTATTCATATATAAGCCAACGTGGCGCATTATTAAAATGGACTTCAGTGCCAACAGCTATACCTTTTTTCAACTTTACACACCATCAAAACAATGTCAGCTCAAAGTTTTTAACGACATTAAAGAGTAAGGAGCACGAATACTTCATTGAGCAACTGCAAGCAGAGCACAGAGTATTTCTGATTTAGCAAAATAACTTAGTCCTATATGCAAAAGGATCGGAAGTCATCAAATTGTAATGTCTTTCCCTTCGTATTGCGCAATTTAGCATCCACTAGCAGTCGGTAAAACGAGCGCGTGGCGCATCCCAAAAGGAATCGATTACCGCCGAACGCTTTCGAGCTTTGATATTTTCATGTATCACAACAATTTCAAAACAAGGGTTCTATTGCATTCAGCACAGCGCAGTTCCTTAGCCAAACAAGATCAGATGTCCAAGGAGGGCACGTAAAAAATTATTTTCACTCTAGTTACTGAAGGTATGACAATTGAAATCAACTAGTATTTCACCACATATTCAGTTTGATCGTCGAAAAACGGCAGAAAAACGAGTTGGGTGCATATGCTTCCCAAGTAGCCAAGAATAATTAGCCTGAGGCGCGAATATTTAGTGAAAAACACGTTGAAGAATGCCTAAATAAAGAAAAACACGAGTTTCAACACCCATCTCAATAACTTTCGAAACAGTGATTAACGAGCACGAGCTGGCAA